AAGCTCTGTTTGAGCAGAAAGCTTTGTCTTGGTTAGTACCTCACTTTAGCCCTTTCTTTCTGCTTACAGGCTTTTTGAGGGTATGAATTAGTCCCGATGTTTACTGTTTGCTTTGGCAGACAGGAAAATTGAGAAGTTTTCAGAATGACTAAGATTATGATTATGGTCTCTGTTTAATCATGCAACTATTTTCTATGTTTTCTTCTTTTTTAACAGCATCTCAGAGTTGTTGATCGAAAGAACAGTAAAAATGTACCCACAGTTTCTTTTTGAATGTTGGCTTGCGTGTCATTAAACATTCCATTTGCTTTGTTTCAGTTAAATGTAGTGGACCAGTTTTGCCTTACTTTGCTTTCATCTTTGCATTTAGTGACACTTCAGTTCCTTTCCTTTATTCTCAAAAAGTCTCTAAAGAGACTCGAAGCTTTTCAAGCAAAAACCAAGAGCCTGTGTTCCTCTGCCTAAAAGATATTAAAAATAGAGTAAATCAAGGATTGATGTGCAAATTAAGTTATTCACTTCTAGCAGCAAAAGCTGAGTTTACAATTATGAGTGTCCAAAGGCATAGAAGCTTTCATCCTCTTGAAATGGAAGTGATTTCCAGCTGGGAACAAAGGGAAGGTATACCACAAAACCTAACCATTTTTTACCAAAGAGGCAAAACTTCTGATGTTCTTGATTTTTCTCTGAACCAGCTCATTTCGGTGATAGTTTTTGTCTTTATAATTAATTTCAGCCTTTGATCAGTAATGCATACTGAAGTCTCTCCTGATGCATTCTTCAGTGCTGCTCTTCTCCTTTGCACATCTTTGTAATGTAGAGGACTTGACTGCTGAAAGCAAGACATTTTTTTTTCTTCCCTGTTGAGCAACCCAGTCCTGCTGTTCCTGGTGTCACATAACACGGCTCCAGCCCTCTGTCTGTTCTCTGGGGAAGAGGCTATACTCTCAACCAGATAAGAAATCTGACATAGATAGAAGTCTTGTGATTAAAATATCCTCATGCTTTGTCTGCATAATGTGTGTATTTTTCTACTTCAAGAAGAGATTAAAGCATGGTTGAAGTTGAGAGAAAGAGAACATAGCTAGAAAGCAGCTACCTATGGGCAGCATATGAAGAAAAAAAAGTTCAAGGACTTAAGTAATGTTTCAGGAAATTCAAGAATTCAAGGCACCTGGAGTTGTGTTGAGTCCTGAAGCTACAACGTGTAGTTGTAGTTGAGTCCTGAAGCTTCTGCAGGATATCCATCTGGGTCTAAGAGAAGGTTATAGAAAGGAAATAAAAAGTAAAATGCTGAGTCACAGCAATTCATTTAGTTACTGTAATCATCAAAAGGGACTATTTCAAAATATGGAAACTGGTGTTGCCAGTTCTCAGCAGCTGATCAGTCAGCCGTCCTTGGAAGTAGCAGTGGCAGCTTGCCTACACTACAGAGTCATTTGTACCTGTGCTTTCACAGCTGAGCATGAAATTTCATAATAACATTTTAACTAATTAATGATTCTAATGAGAATGTAAAATTCTGGATATCTAGCTGGAAGTGGCAGAAAATTGTCTATTTGCAAGTAATATGAGCTTAAGTATGCTGAGGTGTATTTTTTCACACCATAGATAATACATTTTGCTGGGTTCCTTGAAACAAATCCTAAAAAATAAGCTGTGTCTTTACCAGAGGAAATGCTTTCAAGGAGATGGATAACTTGAGAAATATTTCATGTATGTAAAACATACGTATCTTTTACCTGTTAAGTTGCTAAAGCTGCCAAAGATGTGACTGAAGAGCAATATTGACAGAAGTTAATTTTAGCCCAGGGAGACTCAAGTTTCTAGGCTTTCTTCTTCCCCTGTTATCCACCACCTTCTTTTTAGGGGGTAATTCACAATGAAAGCCTAACTTTAGGTGCCCTCAATTACTAGCTGAAGCTTCTCCTCCAGTTCCTGCAGAAGGAATATAGGAAGGCTAACCCTATGAAGTTCAGTTTTCTGAACAGGTACCGCATCCATTTAAGAGTAAAATTTGGATTTGGCAGGAGGAGGAAGAGTACAAGTGCTTTTATTATAAGGTTTCAAAGTAATGAAACCACTGTGATGTGGCTTGCTAGTGCCTGGGAGCAGTCTGCCGCTTACAGGTCACATCCAGGTTTGTTTTCAGTTCTGAATATTCAAAGGTAAGTAGGACATAAAAGATAAAAATTTGTAACTGCGTAAATGTGTTACAATTTTCTCAAGGTTTTGCTAAAACCAGAAAAAGCAAGTGTATATGTCTCCCGTATAATGTTTATTTGATTCAAAGGGAATTCTTGTAGTTAGAATCATCAATGAAAGACTTAAATTTTTTCTGGCCTTAAATTCTTGCTTAACCTTGGGGATACATGCTTCCTTAGCTTTCTTTTCACTTTTTGTTATGTTTTAGTAGTAAATAAGTAAGCAGTAATTCTCCCTATACAGGACCGTTCATTTTGTTTGTGAATAAAGTATAGACATACCACTAAAGTTTTCCAGTACTAATCAACAATGTATGCAAACGTGGAGCTGCACTGATATAAGAAGATCTCAAGGCATAAGTAAAACAGACTTTGCAAACCAAAAATTTGTTTCGCTAGTGGTGGTGTACTTTCACAGGGACTTATATTGGAATATTTGTGTGACTCTGAAGAACAGAGTTCCTTGGTGGACTTCTGGCTATGCTAGTACAATTCTAAAAATAAACCAGATGTACCTACCTAACACACAATAAAGGGAGAAGTATGTCATTCAGGATTGAGTAGACAAAATAGCAAGTTCACCTTTGCAAAAAGGCATGGTGCACAAACTTTCTTAAAAGAAACCCATGCTTTCTTGAAAGGCATTTCAAACTCTAATACATATACTTTGCTGCATTTTTGCTTTGAACTTTGTAGAAATCTACGTGTAAGATAATTATATGTAAATGCCTGAAATTCTTTTGGACTATGGTGACTCATTCACTGTGAACGTAGTGGCTAATGTGACATTTCAGTTTATTTTAAAGAAAGCAGAACAATTCCTGTTCAAAGACATTTACAGGTATTCTTTTTTCTTCTCTGAGACTCAGAGGTACAGTGTATGCACTATACATCTCAAAACCTCCTCTTCTTAGGCTTTTTGATCCAGCTGATTCTGCTAGGAATAAAAGATCTTATTTACTCAGTCACTCCTCTAATCTTAAACTGTTTTTCTACTTATATTAGTAGCCAGATGATTCACAGATCTGAGGAGGGAAACTGCTTTGATCCTCAAGTGTCTAATTGTCTGTTGTTCCTTTTTAAAATTCTCAGCATTAACTAGCATGGTTTCTGGTTTGAATGTCTGAGTTGAACTACTTTGCATTTCAGGTCTCCAGGTTGTTAAGTGTAGAAGTAATGTCACTCCATTTATATTCCTACTCCACCTGTCTGTGTGGAGCATTGATACTGCCCTAGACCTGGCAGAGGTTACAAAAAAGAGTGTAAAAAATTAAAGCTATCACAGAGGATAGGCTTATGCTCTCTCTTTTGAGCAGGGACTAAAATGATGGTAACACATCTCTAAGGTAAATCTTCTGACTCCACAGCTGTCATCCCACCTGTCCCTTCCGAGAGCCAGCAGTCTGGTCATGTGTACAGTGGAGCAGTATCACTGCAGGAAAATGAGGACATTCCACTGCTGAATACTTGGGAGCTCATTGTGAAGGCTGGGATAGGTGTCTGGTTTTTTGGTGGTTTTGGTTGGTTGGTTTTTGTTTGGGTTTTGGTTTGGTGGGGCAGGGTTTGAGGAATTTGTTTTGGTGGTTTTGTTGTTTTGGGGCTTGGGGTTTTTTTTGTGTGGTTTGGGTTTTTTTGTTTTGGTTTTTTTGCAAAGGATGAAATTGTGAATCCCACTTCACCCTGTGCAGAGAAATGAATGTACAGTGTCTCAAACTTTTTGTGCATGCTACAGCAAATGAACATTGGGACTGTGCTGTTCTGTAAGTTCTGTGGGATCAAATAATGGGATTTCAAAAAAATTTGGAAAAGTCTGAGATCAGTTCTCTAAGTAAATCAAATTTATTAATTCCTAAATGGTGAAATTGGAAATAGAAATGTTAACAATTGCAAATTGTATTCATCATAGTAATAGCCCACTTTAGGAAAGCAGGGTTTTTATTTTAAACATATAACTAAATCAGTTACTAAATCCAGAAATATATTGTGTGCCAAAACAGTAAAAAACCCACAAAAACATCAAAACAATTGTGAAGAATATTTTAAATATAAAGATAAGGGCATGTGTTAAATTATGACAGAAATTAATGGCATGCTCTTGACAATGATTTGACTTCTTCTACTGCCTAAAATCTGTATAGTTTATCCTAGAAAATCAAGTTTCCTGTAACTATTTTGCCTGAGAATTCTGCAGTGTGTTGAGTAATACAGTACTGGTATTTTGAGTATCATATGATGATATTAAAAGAAGGCTCAAAATAGGTGTAATGTCAGACTTCACATTTATCATGTCTGGTATGTGTTGGAACTTCATGACAGAGAACCTCAAGCTTGCTACCCTTGATAGCTTTTCTTCATGTTTGAGGAAAATATTTATTGCACATATGTCTGTAAGTAGTGCACTGCTGTAGCTTAAGACCAAAAGCATATTCAAAAGAATATTCTAACTGCTGTCAAGTGTGTGGTTTGGACTTAATTTTAAGACATCTTGGCAAACGAGAGTTTCTTAATGAGGAGTTGGCAAGAGGATTAAAAGACAGACTTCTGAAGTGTTAATAAGCTCCCACCAAGCTTGAAAAGCAGCTGAGGAAGAAAATTTTTCAGCAAGAAAATGCTGAAGCCAAGTGGTTTGAGGCTGGTTATCACAGGCCAACCAGAAATGGGAATCATAGCTCTTGATATGCACAAGAAGAGTTCAGTGGGGTGGGGATAGGCTGTGGAGCTCTAACCGTATCGATGGCACAGCCTGGGGTTGGTGTGGTGAAGCTGTCAAGGAAGAGACCTACAGAGAAGAAAGATGCTTTCCTGCAGTGATGTGGTCTTTTTTACTAAAAGATAAAAATGAGGAAAATTGTGTTCTTCAAAACCAGTGAGTGGGTTTTCACTGTGGTTTTGTAGAGCCCTTAGATGATGATTTCAAGTGACATATGAATGATTGTATTGTAGATGGCTAGCAGAAATCTAGTCAAACCATTCTTTAATCTGGCAAATCTCTGTTTGTTGTTGTTCTGGCAAAGTAATTTCAATATTAGTGCTTAACTATTTCAATGCTTAGTAAAGAGAGCACTAAGAGAGAGAATATCTCTGATTCTTACCACTTAGTTGCAGTAACCTCTCAGGTGAATTTGAAGCAGCATTCTTTCTTCTCTCCTTTGTCCTCTGAAAACCAAATCCTGGTCCCCAGTCATGCCAACCCAAAAAAGGCATCAAAATAACTACAAAAAGCAATCTTGGAGATTTGGGCTCCCAGAAGAAATTTAACCACTGGACTTTTTGTTTCTTGACTTTTTCTTTGCTGTTTTGTTTGTGTTTCAGGCTACTATATTTGGCTTTTTTCCAAAGGAGTTTCCAATTACAGAAAGAGTTCTCTAACAAAGAATGTTTCCAGGGCAGCAGATGTTTCACTCATTACATAATACTGAGCATGGCTAACCTTTAAAGCTTTCCACTGGGGCAGTAAGTGCATTTTATGAAGTAATCTTCTTGCTCTGAGAACTATGTTGTTGTTATTATTTTTGTTGTTAAATTTTCTCTTTTGAGGTATTTTCTTTGCAGTCTTTGGAGTAGTTGCCATCTTCTGTAATGTGAAAGAGCACTTGGGGTACAACACTCATGAAACAAGACTAAAGTGGTTTGTGTAATGAGCGTAGCTGGACTGCTTGCTGATTATCATTCTTTCTGTCTCACATGTATTCCATTTCTGTTTTCTGTCCTTGGCAATAGAACTTAGTTTGCTGGTACCAAACTTGCCTTCATTGGTTCCAGCTGCTTCTCAAGACTGTGTAGGTCAGTTCAGCATTTGAGTTTTCACTTTACATATCTATAAGTGCTCCAATTTTTGTATCATTGGACAACTTTAAATTACTGTTCAATAGGAAAAAATATATTGTTGAATATTAATATAGTAGAATGGTCTGGATGGTCTGGAGTAGGTTAGGTATTTCTTAGATTTAGGGGATTTTTTAAATTTGGTTTTGTTTTCTTGGCCTTTTTTGTTTGTTTGGTTGGTTGGTTTGGTTTGTTTTTGTAGTAGTGGGAGAGTTTGTGGGGTTTTTTTTTGTTTGGTTTGGTTTGGTTTTGGTTTTTTTCCTTAAAAAACTTAAAATTTTTCTGAGGTGCAAATTTTCAGATTTCTGAGTGTCCTGGATTACAGTGTCCATTAACTTCATGATATTTCATTGTATTTTCAGCCATTTTTAATTCATGAGTAGTTATTCAGCTTGCTTTCGCAAAACTTTGCTTCTGAAAGCTTTGTTATGTTTGATACAGGCATTTATATCATCACATCATTGCCCCACTATTTTGTGGGAGTGGGAACTGGTTTTGCTGGCAATCACTAAAAAAATCAGACTAAAAGCACAGTTCTACTTCTTAAGACAAAACCTTAAATTGTTACTAGATTGCTTTTCTATCTAGTTTTAATTTTTTAAATATAAACCTGAAAAATTGTGGCTAGTTTCCTCACTTCCTTTGATAATCTTGGCATACAGGACAAGAAACAAATGAAAAGAAATTTCTAGGTAATAGGGAACAATAATATGTTTTGTTTAAGGCCAAAGGTCTCTCCACTTTTTGTAAAACATGTCTGGAAAGCTGTAAGACTTCTCAGTAACAAAACTGATGCATAAATGGCAAACTGCATATGATTGAGAAAACTAGATATTTATTGCTAGGTCATTAGTACTTCTTACAATTCTGAATTTGCAGTGTCAGTTTATTTCGTCTCCACCTCTTCTTCCTGTGATGTACACTTTTGCATCATCTCCAAGCAAATTGGAAAGGAAGTCTACATTGGAAGAACACAGACACCTGTTTCCTGTTATACGAATGGTGTGGTTTTTTGGCTCTCATGGAAATGTTAGTAACAAGTTACCAAAAAGAGACACCGAATACCTGTCCAGGTTTTTAAAAACAATTGTTTTCTCTGGTCATTGCAGGAGTAACAGTTAAAGCGTGAAAAACATCTTTGCATTTCTCACCTGTGGTGTTCTAGGCTTTGGTGTTTGAGTTCTAACCATGGTAATTTGATGTTAAGATTTATTTATTTAATCAATTTATATCATACAGGTTTTTTCAGTATTAACTGTATTAAATATGGTTGACATACCAAAAGCTTAATGCAGAAGTGATTTGGTTCTCAAACATTCACAGTCTGCAGAACTCTGCTGCTCTGAGAACTGTTTTCTGTACCGGTGGAGGGAAAAAACCTCTGCTGTGTCATCAGATTTTTTCCAGGCTTGGTTGCTTTCCTTTCCTGAGAGTTGCTTACCTGAGGTGATTTGCTATGATATTTCCTACTGTAGTGGCCTGATCAGTTTGGACTGCTTTTGAAAACTTTACCATCAAGCCTGGTTACCTGCTTTTTATGCCTGGTATTTGTGTTCATATGCAGTCAGAAAACAATCTGGTACACAAAAAGCAACTGCAGAGTCAACTGTTTTTTCTTTGCAGATGTTCAAATTTGCAACAATTTAGCTATCTGATGCAAAAAGCTAGTCTAGATTATTTTCAGTACCAGACCTTGATACAGGTTATTTTCTGGATGAAGTTCAATTAACTCAATCCTAAATCATCCTGTAGGAATGCTTCATTAAAATGTAATTGGCAAGTTTTTTATCTTTCACCTTGTCCTTTAGTTTATTTTTCCAGCGTTAGAGGCCTCTGTAAGGTAATCACCATGTAGGTTGTAATATATTTCAGCTGTGCAATTACAATATTCTGCAATGTTTACTTGAGAACTGCTAGGAAGGAATGGTCCTGTATTTGCATATTTGCATGTTCAGACCAAAAGGCAGGTGACATCCAGCCATTCCTGTTCCACAGCTGGATGTGTTAAGACAGGCAGAAGGAGAGCTGTTGCTCTGATTTTTAAAAAATTTTGTAAGCTTTCTGATGTTTACATTCCAAACTTTCTTACACACTTTCTGTAAATAACTTATTATTTTGCATTCTTTTTTTAAAAGAAAGTAATTTGATAAACAGTTTGTCTAGTGTCATTAGAAAAGTAGCACTTTCACCCTCCAATCCCCTATCACTTTTAAAAATCTATAAATGTTAAAGTAAAAAAATAAACTTCCCTTTCTTCACCCTAAAAAAACCAGTGTGTGCACTCGTGTTGTTTCATGTCCTATAATAACAGATGGCAGTTCATCTCTGAAGTTATTTTTGCAATTCTGGTTTTTCTAATCCTCATGTAATTTACTCAAGTGACTGTAACTGTTACTTTATTAATTTTCAATATAATCTGATAATGCAATCTAAAAAAGGTGGTCTTTATAAATATTTCTAATAATTTTTCCTCTTGCTACTGACTGACTGGCTAATAATTTGTGGACTACTTTTTTTCTATTTTAATCCTGTTCAGTCCTAATGGTATGCTGGAAGCCTTACCTTGTCTTAGGTATATATATATAATGTTGCTTTACCTTGTCTTTTGTTAAGGTGTGTATATGTGTGTGTGTATATATGGATGCACTTTATGTTCTTACACCTTGTAAAATATGCTTCAGAGAACTTACCTATGGATATGTCTCTGTGACTTCCCTGTGTGCTGCAAGTGCCATTTTAAGTGTTTGATAACTTCCTTGCTCAATAATTACTCCTGAACTCACTAAATTTGTGGGATAGCCTAGTTTATAATATTCCATTCTGTCATAATATTAAGTTGTCTGTAATGCGCGTGCAAGGTCTGCTGTGAAAGTGAGATGCATAAGCTGGAATTGCACACTTATTGGAGTAGAAATGGGTTTGCTTAGAAGTGAGTGTGATGTGGACAAGCACAGTGATATGAGCAGTAGCAATGAAAGATATGCTGGAGCAGACAAGCAACTGGAGTGCCAGCTGCAGTATGTTCTGGTGACTGTTTGCACTTGCTGTGCACGTTTAAGCCTGTATGGCTACATGAGTGTGTTCAAATCATAACTGGACTTTGTGTCTAGAAAAAAAACCCACCAAACAAAACAGTATAAAAAGTTTTGATTTGCAGGTATAGTGTATAGTTGCATTCCTTACTGCTTTTCAGAGTGAACTCAACTATCAACTTCCTGGTCTTGAAATCTGGTCAAACTGAGACAAAAACTGAGGCAACTAGAATAAGAGCAACCATGCAGATTTATTGAATACATTTAACATTGAGAACCACCTTCACTGTGTTCCGTGTGTTGCTGTGGAATATAGCTAGGAAAGAGTAAAAAAAAAAAAAAAAAGGCCGAAGGAAGCACTATTGTTGATGTATTTTGCTAATGAGACGTTTTAAAAAACCAAATTCATAGTATTAATGCTAACCACTATATCCAGTAATACAGCCCTCTAGCATTTGAATTTAGATTTGATTTTTATGAGCAGTCCTTGAGACAAAACTTTCTAGTGTCTAAATCCTCAATGCTGATCAAACTTGCTGTGTTCAGGCCTTCAGGTTCTACTTTCTCTTGCCCCAGGTGATTAAACTTAATTGTTCTGATTTAGGATCACCTGCTTCTACAAAAATTGATCTTTTTTGATCATCTGTTTCCTGCCACCAGTTTTGTCATGCTGTTATCTTTACCATTGATGTGAAATGCTACATGGAGATTTTTTTAAGAAGGCCTGTAGGTCACAGAATAAGGGGCAACAATTTTAAATTCAAAGAAGAGGAGTTTAGATTGTATGTAGGACTCAGTGGGGCTGGTGAGGTGCAGCTTGCCCAGAGAATCAGGGTATCCAGAGCTGTGGATGCCACATCCCTGGAGGTGTTCAAGGGCACTTTGGATGGGGCTGTGAGCAACCTGGTGTAATGGAAGGTGCTCCTGCTCCTGGCAAGGGAGGTTGGAACTAGATATTTCAGGTTACTGTGCTCCCAACCCAAATAATTTTGTGATTCTGGTATTTCAAATGTGTGCATTTAGGCTTAATGCAGCTCAGCTGCAGTATCTCTTTGCTGGGTATGATAGTGATTTAACTTCTTCAAGCATGTATTTAAAGGCAATTACAAATCTTGTTTAAATTTCTTTCTCCTTTCAGCTTGAACAGAAAGCTGATACTGTTTATCTCAATAATTTCTTGTTTCTTGATGTGCCCGTCTGAGGTGTATGTGCATACTATGTAATACTTTTTGTGTGTTTTAAGGCACGCTTCCAAATTGACTGATTAAAATAAATTCTGCACTGGTTGTTTTGTTATAAAATAAAGGTTTAGTTGGCATAGATGAAGCTTCTTTTATACAAAGGGAAAACACATTGTTCTTCCCATTCCTTCATAAATAGCGCTATTTAATCTCAGTACAAGATAAACAGTGGTCTGTGTGAATAAAGAATGAGATATCTCCCTTCTTTAGCACTCCAGGGAAAGTTTCTGTATTTTCAGAATCTGTATACCCTTTTTCTCTTCTCACTAATTCATTGGAAAGAATAGAGAAAACTTGGTCACATAGCTGTATTTCTGTATTGAGGAGTGAGATGCCTGTGGTAATCATTGTGTTG